TTCCCGGAACCTTCGAACACAACCTGCCAACAATTTTCGTCACGAAGGTTTTTGGAAGGTTTTTGGGCCAACCCCTCTTGGATTTTTTGCCACGAAGGTTTTTAGAAGGTTTTGTTGGGAGGTGTTTCGACGGTTTTTGGAAAGTTGCGCGGGAGGTGTTTGGATTTGTTTTGTTTTTTCTTTCTCTCTCGTTTTTTTTGAAGATGTTGGAAGGTTTTTGACAGGCTTGTTGGGTTTTTTTTTTGGGGGGGGGCAGGCTTTTGGAATGTACTTTGCGGTTTTGCTAGATGTTGGAAGGTTTTTGGAAGGTTTTTTTTGGCAGGCCTTCCAAACAACCTTCCAACTAGTTTCCAAACAACAACCTCCCAAAAACCCCCTCACGAAGAGTCTTGGATTCTTCGCGATTGGAAGGTTTTCCAGGGGAGGAGGGGGGGGGGGCGAAGAATGTATATAGATGGTTTGTTTTGGTATTTTCCAACCTTCCACAAACAAACAAAGCACAATCCAAAAACCTTGAAACAAACTTTCCGAGCGCCTTCCAAACACTTCCCAAACACCTGCGAACAACCTTCCATCATTATGCGAAGCAGCCCAATACATGTCAAAAGCGTTTCAACAATCTTCGGAAGCAAACCTTCCAACAAAAACATGCCCACGACCTTCCCAAAACCTTTCGCATAACAAAAACAACCTTCCAACAACCTACCTAAGACCTTCCAACAACCTTGCGGAAAAAAACAACTTTCCCTACACATTCCAAACACCTTCCAAAACAAACACCTTCCAACAACCTTCGTCGCGAAGAATCCAGGGGAGGTTGGCCCAAAAACCTTCCAAACACCTTCGCGATGAAGGTTTCCGGAGGGTTTTTTAGAAGGTTCAGAAATCTTGGACTCTTCGTGACGAGGGTGTTTGGAAGGTTTTTTTTTTTTTTGTTTTTTTTGGGGGGGTCCAGGAATCCTGGGCTCTTCGCGACGCGTGTTTTTTTTTTTTTGTGGGGGGGTCCGAAACCTCCAACATTCTTGCCAACGCCTTCCACTAACCTTTAAACAACACTTCAAAGACAACCTTAAATATTTAGCGACACCGGCCAATCCATTCCAAAAGCCTTTCCAATGACCCCCCAAAACACTTGCCAAACAACACCTTCAAAACACCTGCCAGAAACCTTATAAACAAACCTTCCACAAACCTTCCCGCAACCTTCCAAACACCTTCCAAAACCTTCCAAAACCTTCCGGGGAACCGTCCAAAAACCCTTGTCGCGAAAAATCTGGGATTCCTGGAACCTTCCAAGGAACCTTTTTAATCACCTACGTCACGAAGAATCCAGGATTCCTGGAACCTTCCAAACAACCTGCTGCCAACAACCTTCCCCACGAAGAATCCGGGACTCCAGAAACTTGTCAAAACAACCATTCAAAAAATTTCGTCGCGTGGAATCCTGGATTCCTGGAACCCCCCAAGAACCCTCGCCACGAAAACTCGGGATTCCTGGAACCTTCCAAAAACAAAAACCTTACAAAAACCCGCGTCACAAAGAATCGAGGATTCCTGGAACCTTCCAAACAAACCTTCCAAAACCTTCGTCACGAAGAATCCCGGATTCCTGGAACCTTCCAGAACAACCTTCCAAAAACCCTCGTCGCGAAGAACCCAGTATTCCTGGAACCCTCCAAAAAACAACCTCCCAAAAACAATCTTCACGAAGAATCCAGGAGTCCTGGAACCTCCCCAACAAGAGCCGGCCAAAAACCCTCGTCACGAAGAACCCTGGATTCTTGGAACCTTCCAAAACAACCTTCCAATGACCCTTGTCATGAATAGCCATGGATTCCTGGAACCTGTAAACAAAACCTTCCAACAACATCCTCATCGCGAATAATCAAGGATTCTTGGGAGTTTTTTGTTACCAAAACAACATCCCCCAAACCCTCGTCGCGAATAATCCAAGATTCCTGGGAAGTTTCAACAAAACCTTCCAACAACCCTCGTCGCGAAGAACCCATGTTTCCTGGAACCTTCCAAGAAGCTTTCGAAAAACCCTCGTCACGTAGAATCGAGGATTCCTGGAGCATCTCCCCCCCCCTCCCCCCTCCCCCCCTCCCTTCCCCCCCCCCCGCAAGAAAAACGCTTGCCAGAAACTCGCGCCACGAAGAGCCCCGGATTTCTGGAATCGCCCGAACAATCCCCCAAAAACCTTCGCCACGAAGAATCCAGGAGCCCCGGGGCCTTTCAAAAAAACCTCCCAGAAACCCTCGTCGCGAAGAACCCCGGGTTCTTGGGGCCTTCCAATGCACCGTCCACAAACCCTCGCCGCGAAGAGCCCCGGATTCCTGGAACCGCCCCCCCCCGGAAAAAACAAAAGACACGTCGAGCAATCTTCGTCGCGCGGAGTCCAGGGGGCCTGGGGCCTTTTCAAAACAACCTTCCAAAAACCCTCGTCGCGAATGATCCAGGATCCCTGGGGCTTCCTGAAACAAAAACAAAAACCATCCACGAACTCTCGTCAGGAAAAACCCTGGATTTCTGGAACCTTCCAAAACTTTCCACAAACCTTCATCACGGAGAATCCAGCAATCCTGGAACCTACAAAAAAACTTGCCAAACACCTCCGTCGCGAAGAATTCAGGATTCCTGGAACCTTCCACAGAACTTTCCAAACGCCCTCGTCGCGAAGAATCCAGGAGACCTGGAACCTGCCCAAAAAACATTCCAAAAACCGTCTTCACGAATAATCCAGGATTCTTGTCAACTTTCAAGATATTTTCAAACGCCCTCGTCACGAAGAATCCAGGAGTCCTGGAACCTTCGAAACAACCAGCCAAAAACCTTCGTCACGAGGAATCCCGACTTCCTGGGGCCTTCCAAGAATCCTTCCCAAAACCTTCGTCACGAAGAATCCAGGAATCCTGGGGCCTTTCAACAAAACCTTGGAAGGTGTTTGGGAAGTTGTTGCGAGGTATTTGGGAGGTTTCTGTTTTTTTTGGTTTCCAGAGTTTTTTTATTGGGTGTTGGATATGATATTTTTGGGATGTTTTGGGCGTTCCGCTAGATGTTGGAAGATATTTGGAATTCTTTATTTTCTGAGGTCTTTGTGCGTTTTTTGAAGGCTTTGGACGGTTCTTGGAAGGTTGTCTAGAAGGCTGTTGGGAGGTTTTTTGAAACAAACTTTCCAACAACCTTCCTCGCCCCCCCCTCCCCGCCCGGGGAAACTTTGCAAAAAACATTCGTGGCAAAAACCTTCCTCGCGAAGAATCCAGGTGGGGTTCGTCGGAACGCCCGCGCAGGTCTCCTTGGCGTCATCGGTCGGTGCGCGGGGGCGCGCGGGGCGTTATGCCATTGACATTCGCGCGATGATGGCGCAGTGGCAACGCGAGAGAGTGGGCGGCAAAAGTGCCGGATGGCCCGTGGTCTTTTGCAGCGGCGGGTCGACCTGTAGCTTCGCGCGGCCGGGGCCCGCCCCCGTTGTTTTTCCCGCCTCATCGCCCTGCCCCCCTCGTTCCAAGGGCCCGTTCTCAAGCGCCCCAATCGAGGCTGTTCCAGCCGCCGCCCCCATTCAAGTTCCAGTCGCCCCTCTTTCCGTCCACTGCGTCCCTGCTTCGCCCAGTGCTATTCTCCAGGCGATGGCGCGCGCCTGCCCCTTTTCCTTCTCCTCGCGCGCGGGTTTGATTGGCCCTTGTCGTCGTTGTCCTGGCGCCGTCGTTCCTGCCAGCGGCTGCGCTGCTGCTTCTGCCCCCCGTCTCTGCCTCCCGCCGCGGCGCCGCCGCCGTCGCCGTCGCAGATGCGGCGTCGGACATTTGCAGATTCGGCGGGGCTGCCTCGTCGACTCGCAATCTAGGCGTTCGATTGTCCGGGCGGGCGCGCGCAGTTGCGTTTCGCGCGTGCAGCGTGCCACTTCGCAGAGTTTCTGCGCGACTATGCGCGTGATTATACAGCGGAGACACGCGTTTCGTTTATTTCACAGACCTCATTTTCTTACATGCGCCATGCAATATAATGTTTTCTGGTTTCCCAGGCTGTCCATGAGTTACTGCCGTTTAGTCCGCGCGGATGCAAGCCTGCTGGAGATCGCGCCGATCGAGTCGCTCGGCGCAGGCCCTGGAACTGGCCCGGTGGAGAACTGATCGATCTCGGCGATCGAACCGAGCCGACCCCGAAGAAGCGCATGGGACTTTACTAGCTTAGCGTTGATCGAAAATGGATCGAGCCGATCAAGACGATCGAGGCGTCGGCGCTAGAGCGGTCACTTGCTGCGCGCCGTTTATTCTAACATAAGTTGCGCGAGCGGCCGCGACGTGGCGCGTGCATTTTTCGGCCAAGGGTCAACGCGAAGGGCCGCGCATCTTTGTAGATGTTTGTTGGCAGCGAACGCCATGTCGTCACAGTGCATCCGGCATGGTATTTGTTTAATGCGCGCCCCCCCCGCCTCTCGACCATATCCCCAAGGCGTCTTTTGAATTCCGAGTTTTCTTTGCTTGTTCGGATGCCCGGAGCTGGCTTCCAGATGCTAGCGACCGCTGCGCCGAACTAGCCGCCTCCATTTTTTTCGAGCGTGGGATGTGTGGCCACCTGAAAGGAAGACATTGTCGTACAACGCGTTGGCCGACGAGAGAGATCCATCGATGGGGCTCGACGGCACGCGATGGGATCGATTCGAGCGATCGGACATCGATCGATCGAAACCGAATCGCGCGCAAACGATCACTCGGCCGATCGCTCGATCAAAACGATCGAACGCTCGACCAGTCGACCGACCGATCAATCGACCAAGTGTTCGATCGAAACGATCAGTCCATCGATCGCGTCCATCGATCGCCCGTTCAGTGCCATCGACCGCCCCAGCGATCGTCGAATCGATATCGTCATCGGCCGATCGCTTCGATCGGTCCTCCGATCGTGGCGACCTGTCGACCGAGCGCTTCGATCGGTCGATCGGTCGATCGGTCGATCGGTCCGCTCGCGCGCCCGCTGCGCGCGCCTCCCCGCCGCGGCCCGAGGCCGAGCGGCAGCGGCGGGCGGCCCTGGCGGCGGAGGAGCAGGCCAGCGCGGCCCGGCGGGCGGCCGAGGAAGAGGCACAGGCGCGCCCAGTGGCCGCCTCTTCCCATCCCTCCCTCCTCCCATTTCCCTTTTTTTTCCCATTTCCTCCTCCTCCTCCTCCTCCTCTTCCTCCTCGTCCTCCTCGTCCTCCTCGTCGTCGTCCTCCTCCTCCTCCTCCTCCTCCTCCCCCTCCCTCCTCCCATCTCCCCCCCAATCTCCTTCATTTTCCTCCTCGTCCTTCCTCCCCCCTCCTCCCTCTCATCCCTCCTCCTCCTCGTGCTTCCTCCTCCTCCTCCTCCTCCTGCTCCTCCCTCCTCCTCCGGCTGGGGCACCAGGACGTCGGTTCCCAGGCGGTGGATGTGGATAAATCCCCACCTCGCATTTCAGTTCGCTGGTGTTCAATTGTTTGTTGGAGGACGCGCGCACCTGGCCAAGGAGAAGTGACAGGCAAGGAGATGCGGCGTCCTGGTTGGCATTCTCGCGTCGTCGATATGCCGACGACGTGACTGTGCCTGGCAGGTCTCGACATCAAATGAAAGCAATGCCGTCTGATATCAGTGCAGATTGCTGCTGATGTTGGTTCGGCCTTCCACCCCGACAACCAACAGTTTGGTCAACTGTTGCCGAGAACAGAAAACATGAAAAGAAGCACGGAATTGTGATCGGATGCATGCAAATCGAGTCACGGCTGCAATATGAGGCCGTCCAGTATTTGGGCCACGTGCGGTCATCGCCAGACATACGCACACAATTTGAATATCGCACCTGACGAGCTAGGCAAGCAAACCTTCATGGCGAGGTAGCTTGAACGTGCGACCATCATGTATGGTTTGGCCTCGCGGCTCCGACATTTCGAGCGCGTTGTTACGCTAATTGCGCTGCACAGGGCATCATAATTGACGCTGGCGCTGGACGCACAGGGAAAAATAACCTTACGCAGATATAATGAATGTTACGGACGGTGTGTAGAGGTTCGCGCACCCAGTGGCTTCATCAAGCCACGGCAAATAGACGTTGCCAGCAGCGACATGGCATCCTGTGTGTTCCAAGTGTCGCCAGGGGCGCCTGGCCCGCTGACCAGACAGTCTATGGGCACGTGATATGGCTATGTACTTGCAACTTCAGCACGGCACCGGCGCGACATCTGAAGACTGGCTCGCCTTCGGAGTTGACGGGGCTGCATGGTGCAAGTTGGAAGCACCATGCATCATCTCATGTTTTGTCCGGTTGTTTTCTGCTGTATTCTCATTCGGGCGCTGATCTCTTTGACTGTTCTGGACGGGGCGGGAACGCTATCTGGAAGACTACGAGGCGAGCCCTGAGCGCTGCGGCGCACTTCACCAACGCCGCCATGGAGCGCGCCTCGGCGCGATGCGGGCGCCCCGCCCTCTCCTGCTCCTTGGCGGTTCTCGAGCCCCCCCGGAGTGTCCTCTCGTCGCCGCGGCCAGGGCCACCCCTCGAGACTCTCGCCTGAGAGGCCGCCCTCGCGGCGGCTCGTGGAAGCGCGCGGAAGCTGGTGCAGGGTGCCACATGCGAACCCTGCCCCTACCCCCGACGATTCCTGAGGGGCAGGGTGGGGTTCACTTCGTTCGGGAGCTCCCGAGCGAGGTGAACCCCACCCTCCCCCTCAGAAATCGTCGGGGGTAGGGGCAGGGTTCGCATGTGGCCCCCTATGATGGGCCTCGCAGGGCCCGGCGCTGAGAGCTGGAGCCCCGGGCCGCCCCGAGCGGCCCGTGCGGCGGGGCCCACGGCGGGTCTGCGCCGGGCGGGCGCGGCGGCGAGCCTGGCGCGGGCGTCCGGTGGCTCGAGAGGAGGTTCTGCTTCGCGTGCGGCCTCGGAGCGCCGCCGTCGGGCCCCAGGGCCGTTGGGAGCCGATGAGGGGCCAAGGTTTCACCACCGCTGCCACAGGCAGGGCGGGGGAGAAGGGAGGGCGGGGAGGTCCCCTTCTCTTCCTCCTCCTCCTCCTCCTTGTCCTCCTTGTCCTCCTCCTCCCTCTCCTACCGACGGCAGTGGTGGTGGAACATCGGCCCCTCATTCGATCTGTGGTGAACAACCTGCCCAGGCTGGGCCCCAGGAGGGGTCCAGGGACCGATCTGAACAGATTGCGAGGGCTTTACGGCCGCTGCCGCCGACCATGAAGACGACGAAGATGAAAACGAGGGTGAGGAGGAGCAGGAGGAGGAGGAGGAGGAGGAGGAGGTAGAGGAGGAGCAAAAGGAGGGGAGCAAGGGGGGAGGAGGAGGAGGAGGAGGAGGAGGAGGAGGAGGAGGAGGAGGAGGAGAGGAGGAGGAGGAGGGAGGAGGAGGAGGCGGAGGCGGAGGCGGAGGCGGAGGAGTAGGAGGAGGGGGAGGAGTAGGAGGAGGAGTAGGAGGAGGAGGAGGAGGAGGAGGAGGAGGAGGAGGAGGAGTAGGAGGAGGAGGAGGAGGAGGAGGCTTGGCCCCAGGAGGGGTCCAGGGACCGATCTGAGCAGATTTTGGTCGGGCGGGGCCAACGCCGCGCTGTCGCGGCGATGGCCCTGGTACGGGCGCGCGGGCGTTCGTGGTGGATCGCCGCAAGTGGCTCTGAACTGGCCGACGTCGGACGATCCGCGTAGTCTTCAGTCGGGCCTGTCCCTCTACAGGGGGAATATTCAAAAATAGTTAAAAATTAGTCAGGGGACTATTTTTTGACCATTTGGGGGTATTTTTTGAACATTTTTGGAGTATCTTTTATTTTTCGTCCAATCCCCCTGTAGGGGGACAGGTCCGACATAAGCGTAGTCGGACGATTGTTATCGTTCAAGGCCGAGCGGTCCACGCCGTGTCGGCCGCGAGCGCCGATGCCGTCACTATATCAACCGGCCGTGGCAGGAAGAGCGGGGGTTCCAAACTCAGCGCAGGCGGAGGGTCGGAAAAACCGGTTCGGACTTTGAGAGCGTTCGAGAAAGTTCCCCGCCATCTGTTAACGTTGCCCATCTTTGCGAAGGTTTGGGCAGCATTGGCCAGTGTTGCAAATTGGCGGAAGGGCGTGCCCCGCCCACTAACTTTCCAGTTTTCCTGTGGTCCCGCGTGGCCCGACCGGCCTCGACGGGTTCTCGTCGGCTGCGCATGTATGATCACGGACCTTCGCACATGCCATCTCGAAAGGCAGGGGAGTGGTCTACTGTTGGGACGGCCCGTATCTGTTTGATCATGGCGCAGGAACCAGTCCGTCACACTGAACAGCGAGGATTTACCTGGCGGTCCCAGCCTGAAGTGACATAACATGTGGCTTCCACTGCCACGCATCGCATCGCGCCTCCCGACATTCACATGGTATTTCGCCAATCGTGTTGTAATCGCATTGCCTGCTCATATTGCAGGGCCTTGCTCATCGGGGCGTTCGTTTTCTTAGTTGAGTTTTTTGTTGGGGGGAGAACATGTACGTGTGATGCGGGGGATGGAGGCTATCAAGCAGTGCAGCAATCATGATGATTGGGTGCCGTGGTGAGATTCGAGGAGCGCGAGTTGAATTGTGTGTACTGGCGGCACTGCCGATGTGGCCCCGTATCGAGCATTTCGAGACGGATGTGTTCATCAGTCGAGTTTATTGACGAGCGTACGACCAGTGATGCCGGAGCGTTTGCCCTAAATCGTGCGTTCGTGTGGGGGTGCGCGCGGAATCTTACGTGGTCAGAATCACGCGTGGAACCCAAGGCGGGTGTGTGTGTGTGGATAATCCACTGTGTGCGCGTGTGTGTGTGTGTGTGTGTGTGTGTGTGTGTGTGTGTGTGTAGAGGGCGACATGCTTCTCCCCGTCGCTGCGCGTGAGGCCGCGATCGCCAAAAAGTGTGTGTGTGTGTGTATGGGTTTGTGTGTAGGAGCCCTGTTTGTGTTTGTGTGCGGAGCTGCGAGGGCGCCCCGCTTCGTATGCTTCCGTTGTTGCCTTCTCGCTTTGGCTTTGGAGGACATTCGTTTGCGTGTGTGTGTGTGTTTGTGTGTGAGCGTGTTGATGTGCGTGAGAGAGAGAGAGAGCGTGTGTGTGTATCCTTGTGTGCGTGCGCGAGCGTATGTGCGTGTATGTACGGATGTTTGCGTGTGTGTGTGTGTGGAACTCTATGTGTGCAACCAGTTGTAATTCTTGGTGTGTTGAATCCTATCTATAAAGAACCATTTGTGCTGGAAGCTTAATGAGTGTGTGGGTGAGTCTCGGGAGGACTCCCTCGTGTGAAGAACGCCATGTGTAGTGGACCCCGTTCGTGTGAAACCCGTGCGTGGGGAACGCCGTGCGCGTGGAACCTCATGCGCGACGGGCTTCGAGGCCGATTTGTGCGGTGGGTCGACCATTGGGCTGCACAGCTGCGTCGTGAGTGGCGCGGTGGTCGCAGGCTGGGTCACGCGGTGGCCCCGTGATGGGCTGCGCGGTTGCGGCCACGGCCAGACTTGCTAGTAGGCTGGTCCAATTCTGTGGGGCACAAGTGCCCATCGTTCTTGAAAGCGGTTTTGTTTCGGAGTCCCAGATCCCAGCATACTTCGGGCGCCTTCCCATCTCAGGGGTCGGGCGGTTCTCCCTGTTCCCTCCGTCTCGGGGTTGCAGGTGGAAGCACAACCTGCCGTCAACGCTGATGCTGGGGGGGGGGGGCCGGGGAGTCGTCCGACGACTTTGTGGTGCGCAGGTTCGATGCCGAGTGTGTTGGAGCACGTGCGCTCCGCGCCCCCGGCAGGTCGCCCGGCGGCTTGCTGCGGAGGCAGAGGCCGCCCTCAGGGCCGCCGAGGAGGACGCGTCTGGCGCAGGAGGAGAGTGAGGAGGAGGAGGAGGAGGAGGAGGAGGAGGAGGAGGAGGAGGAGGAGGAGGTGGAGGAGGAGGAGGAGGAGGAGGAGGAGGACGAGGATCAGCAGTGGAAGGAGGGGGGAAAGTGACCGCCACGAGGGCGGGAGGTTGTTCGCTCTTCGCGGCTCACGCTCGTTCCCCGTCCCCCTCCTCCTCGTCCTCCTCTTTTTCCCTTGGGTGGCGGCGCGGGGGCGCGAGATTGTTCGCGCTGAGCTCATGGCACGCATCCTGAGCCAGTCGCGCCATGATAATACTCTCGGCCTGGGGGAAGAATCGAGAAGCAGGCAGGCGACGACGACCGCGCAGGCGGGGACGCCCCCGCAGACGTCTGGCGGCCAGAGCAAAATCGAGGCGACCGCCTTTATCGCCGCTTTGGCCCCTTGCAGAGTCGGTTTCGGGCCCCGCGACCGTCAAGAGCTGGCCTGGGGAAGGGGTCGAGAAGTCCGGAGGCCCGTGTGTCGATAGAATCGCACCGCTGGATCCCTGTGTCTGGGCACCCTGGTTCAACGGCGATGGGATGAAGGTAGAAAGTATGAGGCAGCATGCGTTCGGCAGGTTCGTGCCGTGTCGACGCGGCGGCGACCCCAGCGCAGGCGTTCAAGGCTGAACCGCTCTGGTGGCTTGTCAATCGGCCGATGCCGTACGATCCGCGCTATCTGGAAGCCGCGATCGCCCAATGTTCAACGATCCGTTCGGTGTCAGACACCAATGTGCCAGCTGGTGTTGGCTTCGGGTTGCGCACAGACAGCCGTCCCAAGGTAGTCCTGGCTGACCTCAGCAGGCCTCCTGAGCAGTCCGGGACGGAAGCAACACCCCAACCTTGGGCGGAGCACCCCAGGGCGTTGGCACCGCTGTTGACTGCTCGGGGGGCCTGGTGAGGCCAGCGGGGACTCCCTTGGGGGGGGGGGCCTGTCTGGGCGCAGCCCGAAGCCTTCCAGTCGGGGCGCTGAAGAAGGAACCCTCTTCGTTGGGGAGGGGCTCCGTGTTCCCTGCTTGCTTCACAGCTTGCCTTCAAGTTTTCCTTGGGTTTTCGATGGGGAATCGAAGGTCAGCCTATGGAAGAAAGGGGCCGCGTTCCTTGTTTAGACTTCCTTAGGTCGACGCCCCGACTGTCGGAGCGCCAGTCGTCACAGCACGGGCCCGCTCCGCGTGCCCGTCCTCCCCCGTCGGTGCCCGAGGAGGCCCGGAGGGTCGAGGCCCACCGCGAGGCCGAGGAGTCGGCGGCCCGACAGCGAGCGGAGGACGACCTGCGCACGGCCGCGGAGCTCGAGGAGGGGCTGGCTCGGGGGACCTCCGCGCCCCGCCCGTCCGGGGCACCTCTGGGGAGGGGCAGGCCCCGCCGATCACAGGAGGAGGAGGAGGAGGAGGAGGAGGAGGAGGAGGAGGAGGAGGAGGAGGAGGAGGAGGAGGAGGAGGAGGAGGAGGAGGGGGAGCAGGAGGAGAGAGGAGAGGAGGAGGAGGGAGGAGGAGGAGGAGGTGGGGAGGGGCAGGCCCCGCCGATCACAGGAGGAGGAGGAGAGGGGAGAGGAGGAGGAGGGAGGAGGATGAGGAGGAGGAGGAGGGGAGGGGAGCAGGAGGAGGAGGAGGAGGAGGAGGAGGAGGAGGAGGAGGGGGAGGAGGAGGGGGAAGGTGTGCGGCTAGTGGCGGGAGGAACGTTTTCGTTGGCTCTCGGAGGTTTTTCAGCTTCCTGAAGCTCTCCAGCAGCTGTGCCTCGCTGGGGACCTCCTGGGGGTGCCGGGATCGTCCCGGACGGCCGCCGGTTCACCTGAGTTATGACCCGAAAGGCACACGACGAGGATCATTGGGCGGGATCTGCTCATCAGAGGAGGAAACGGTATCCATACCTCCACCCTTCCCTCGTCTTCCCCTTTTTGGGCGTCCTGGGCGGCCCTCGTCGTCACCTCCAGATTTGCCTCGAGATCCTGGTCAGGACGCTCCCCGGGAGAGGTCCGGGGAGCGGCGGTATCGGCACCTCTTGGGCTCCCCAGAGGGGTCGGCTGCGCCAAAGAGCGGCATTTCGCTGAAGGGAGGAGGAGGCGGAGGAGGAGGA